CATGTTACATTGTAACCACCAGATAAGATTGTTGTGAGCGCTAACAAAGAAAATTTGTTAATCCTCGTTTGTTTTCATTGATGTGCCATTAATATTGGCGCCCAATGCAGAGACCGAGGGCAATACTAAAGGTGAGAATACATAAAACGCTTATTTGACTGGCTTAAGGTGGGAATACATAAAGCGCTTATCTGGCTGACTTCGTCGAAAATTAACAAAGGATTCTAGGCCCAAAATCGAACTAAGTCAACCTAAAACTCCTTTGTTCATCTACGAAGAAGCCAGCCGATGACTTAAGCCAGTCAGATAAGCGCTTTATGTATTTCCACCCTTAAGTCATCGGCTAGCTTCTTCGTAGGGGAACAAAGGGGTTTTAGGTTTACTTAGTTCGATTTTGGGCAGCCGATGACTTAAGTCAGTCAAATAAGTGTTTTATGTATTCTCACCTTAAGAAAATTGTTCCAAAAGTCATGCCATTAAATTTAGTCTACTTAAAATAAATGCGTTTGAAAGAAATCGTAGCATTGTGATCGTTTGAAGTTCACGATTTGTTTTCATATTTCATTGTTCTAATGTAGACGTTTGTTATCAGCAAAGTTAATAATAAATCTAGTGAACAAAATTGATTTGATTGATTTCTGTCTAATATTACAGGAAAACAATAGAAATGGTTATATATTTAATACAAACATTTTTCTTTTGTTCAAATGGGTCTTATCTTATTGAATCTACAGCCTTTTTGATTCGCAATTATATGCGCCATTAAACTCACATTGAGAGATAGAACACGGTTGTGTCATGAAAACACGCTAGATGTACTGGTTTTAAAAATACATGCCATTCGTGTAATTTCTACGTTTTAACCTTAATTTGCAGCAGAAATTTTAGGGGCAGAACAAGGACAAAATCATCACATTCGTCATCGAGTTCCGTTTACTATAGAGAAACATTTCGATTGCTGTTAATTTTTGTATCACTGTAATTTATTTTGTCTACTACTTTTGTGTACATTGCTGTAAACGTATGGTAATAAGAAATTTGAAACAAACGAGTATTTCAAAATAAGTTTTTGTTTTCCTCGGCTTTGGAGTTAGAGGATGTGTACAAAGTGGCATTGATAAGGAAAAATATTCTTTATAAAATCAGTTCTTTATCATTGCCTGAAGCGGAGTGATTCTATTCAAAATAGAATAGTTCTTACATTTTCACCAACTTCTTGTTTCTTTATCTTTTCTCCATTCACAAATCACTACATTAGGTCGTCCCAATTAGGTCGTACATGGCCCAATCATTAGGTCTGTCAAAATACATTTGTTTACATGTGGAATTCGCTGCGAAATATGACAAACTGTCATCATAGAATTGTTTATGCTAAGAATATTGGTATACACAATTCAATTCAAGGTAAAACTTACACCCACGTCGTTCGTGTGTTCCGATCACTTTAAAATGACTAACATTATTAAATCCGGCAAGTCATCCGGTAAATCAGCTGTTTTTAGGCAATTCGCCCATTACACGACCTAATAAATAGGCCTTGAATCACTACATAATTTGTTTTCGATAGCATACTACTATCGTGTACAACTTCGAGTAGAAACAATTCGATAACGACTATGGTGATTAGCGTAAACTACATTACACTGCCGAAGTACTCGGCCCCAGAATGAACGCACTACGCGTCTTTATTGCCCCCTCTCCATCAAGAAATACTAAGTGGCGAATAGAGTTTAAGAATATCGCACTTTTCGTTTCTTTTCTTTTTCAACGTTTGCAACAACACGAAATATAAAATCTGTGGCAATCGAGAGTCATTTCTGTTTTCTGAGGGTTAAAGAATTTGAAAGTAATTGTTGTAGATACTGTTGCATACATTTAGGCATATGCGTTATATAAATTAAATAATGCCATGTTCCTAGGGGAGTACATAAAACAAACCGTTCAGATAACAAACACAGTCAAACTTCTCTAGGAGGCATGGTAGAAAAATACAAGTGATCTGCAAACAAACTTTGGAATTAAAAATATTGAATGATCCGATGATATCCGATTTGCGTCGTATAAGATATAATATAAATATCAATTTATTTTTGACAAAACATTTTAAATTTTTTGACATATCAAAGTTCCCAAGCGTTGATGCATCTGCCGAATTGATACGAAATACTTGGTAATTGAGACAGTTGACCAAAAAGTTTAATTTGAATAAACATAAATGCGGGTTTATTTGGTTGTAAAATATTTATTGATTTTCAGTTGGAATGGAAAATATTGTTTCGGGTCTTAATAAGAGCAACAATGAATGCGGTTCGCCGGAGACCGCATAAAGTATACATATCCCTGATCAGTGTGTGTCTGTCCATCTGTTAAAATAAAAATAGGGCTCGCACTAGTGACATTAGAGCAATGCAATTTTGATATTGGCATTGATATTATTCCTTCTACATTTAGTTATAGAACCCATATGCAAATATTCAGTCTCTTGGAGATTTTAAACCACTTTATAACTTGATCAGCTGTAATCTGACATTCCAGGTTCTTTGTAGGTAGATTAAAGGTGAGAATACATAAAACGCTTATTTGACTGGCTTAAATCATCGTAAAAGAAGAAAGGATTTTAGGGCGACCTACCTCAATGATTTATGCCGGAAAAATCGTATGTGTTTATAGGTGAAAACACATAAAACGCTTTTTTGACTGGTTTCTTCGTAGAGGAACAAAGAAGCTTTAGGTTGACTTAGTTCGATTTTGGCCCTAAGCTCCTTTGTTCTTTTCCAAAGAAACCAGCTGATGACCATGGTAAAAAAGAAGGTAAATTAATTTCAAATAAGCATTCTCATCCCTGCATTTTCTGTAATTTATCTTGTCAAATTTCAATGCATAGAAGACAGGTTCCCATCTCTAATTTATGAATATACCATGGTAGAATTAAGAAGGCAAAGTCTATATGTTTAGTTTTTTTTTCTTCAAAATTATTCATTTGACAACATCTCATTGTCAAATTTTATATGTATTTATAAATCCATTGTATACACAGAAATCAGACATAGGAACCTGTTTTTTATTCAACGAAATTTGGCAAAGTAAATTACAGAAAATGCAGAGATGGATAATCTTATTTTAAATGGCTTTACCTTCTTAATTTTACCATGGAATGTACAATGAATATAAATATACATTTGACAATAAGATATCGTGAAATGTTCAATTTTGAAAAAAATTGTAAACAAATGATTTCTTGTGGTTACTTTGCATGGTAGAAGAATGCAGGAAACAAATTTACTTTTTGAAAAAAAAAAAATAAATTGACATAAGACAAGGTTTTCAAGGTATAAGTTTAACTAAATCAACCTTAACTCCTTTGTTCTTTTACGAAAAAGTCATCCATTGACTTATGTCTCATATATGACAATTAATACCCTTTACTTTAATATATGATAAATAATACTTTTCATCGTGTAATAAAGAAGGTAACGTCATGCAAACATATGTTTGCAATTTTTTGACATTTGACATTTCATTGTCAAAATGTTTATTTACAAATACATTGTCTATACACGAATCTGAGATGGGAACCAGATTTCAATGATGTTAAATTTGACAAGATAAATTAGAGAAAAATACAGAGCTGGATATTATTATTATTTGAAATTGGATTACCATGAGTTATTGACTATGACTCAGAGAAAATCCAACTATATTTTTGTATTTATAAAACCAGTCGGTTTAACTTGTCAATTCCATTGCATATACCTCAAATAAATCCTCATAAAGAATGTTAATCCGGAAATTTTTTTTTTGTAAATATCTTCCATGGTAGAATTTTTTTTAATTATTCGTTTGACAACATCTCATTGTCAAAATTTAAAATTATAAATCCAGTTTATACATAGGAATCAGGGATGGAAAACTCTTATTTTATTCATAGAAATTGGACAAGTTAAACTACAGAAAATGCGGAGATGGATATGCTTATTTGAAATGATGTTACCTTCTTAATTGTACCATGATATCTTCCAGAGTTTTCTACAATGGTTCTTACATGGAAAACGTTTTCATAAAACACGATGTTTAGATTTTTCATTCATATTTTATTATAGTCAAATAATTAGGTGTCAGGTTAAAGTAGAGTCATTGTAGAACAATTCAGTCAGATGCATCAAAGCTTGAAAACATTGATATGTCAAAAAAATTAAATGTCTTTTCAAATATTAGTAGATTTTTATATGTTTTCTTATACGAAGTCATTCGAAGTTTATTATCATACGCGCTTTTCAACAATTTTTACAAATTGAAATAATTTTTCATTCAACATTTTCAATTCCAAAATTAGTTTGACAGTTCATTGTTCCAGCAGCTGTGTCGATGCGTCTACCTATTTTCTTCTAGCATGAGTAGAGTCATTGTAGAAGAATATAGGCAGACGCACCGGCACAGCTGCTGGGACAATGAACTGTCAAATCAATTTGGGAATTTAAAATGTTGAATGAAAAATATTTAAATTTGTAAAAAAAATTGAATAATGCGTATTTTAATAACCTCCGAATGTCGTCGTATAAGAAAACATATACAAATCTACTTATATTTGAAAAGACATATAAAATCTTTTGACATATCAATGATCCCAAGCGTTGATGCATCTATCTGTATTCTTCTACCATGAGTAGAGTTGAGACAATTGCACATTAGCATACCTAAAGACATTGTTCGGAAAGAACATTCCACTTGTGTTTGTTAATAGCTTTGCTTTCATTCAAAATATATGGAATTTTTTTAAATTTTTAAGAAAAAGTGTGCATGGAATCATTTTTAAAGAAACTGGATCCAACACGTGCGTAATTCATCTACCCCCAATTTTCGTCTAAAATTCGTACACAGATAATATCGAAATCGCAAAGTCATTTATCGTTTAATGATTATAATTATTTTAATTTATTGCTCATTAAAATCTTCATCTTCATCATCATCATCTTGAAGACCGGATTGTATAAATTAATCATTCCACAAAATGTTAGTCGAAACACAGAAGTCTACAGAGTTGAATATTGATGTCTAGCACGGGTTTCTTCTCTGACAGATGCTGATGTAAAAAACATCGATTAAATGGTCTTTGAACCTCTTACTCATAGCGTTCGCTTTATTTGGTGTTTATTTATATTTTTCGATACAACCCTTTTCTGGTATTTTGTTTTGGTTATACATTGTTGTTTTGGAAAACAAAACACTAAAAGCAAAAGCGCGAAACAAGTTTCACTTCTTAGCCGGACACAATTATTTGGTTGTCACTGTAAATTGCGATAGAGCCCAGCTTACTTTTGTGTTGATAGTCCCCAAAGCCACAAACATAAGAATTAGTACATTTTCGGATCGTCAGCCAAAAACACATATATCGGCAAAAATTCGGCGCTATCAATTGTATCAATGACATCGAACATGCATCGAAATTCGCTGGCAACTGCTGACCTATTAAGTCCCTCGGCCATGGACTACAGCATTTTCCATCGCACCACAAACGATGCGTCAATTAATTTACAATTCAATGAATTAACTTATGAAACTGAAAGTAATTGAAATTTTTGATTTGTTTTGTTTTTATGTTCTATTGAAATTTCAAAAATAAAAAAAGAAGAAAGAAAAAAATTAGGAAAATAAATTTTATTAAGTGTTAAGTTGTTTTGAATTAATTTAAAAGTATTGTGAATATTTTTATAAAAACATATAATTTTTTAATATTTATTTCCAAGATTCCAAAATATTAGTGAATGGTGTAAGTGGAATATTTCGTGCCAATGAATTGACAGCCATTATTGGTCCTTCCGGATGTGGCAAAACAACATTATTAAATCTGTTGTCCGGATATAGGTAAGTTTGAAATACTTAATATGACATAAACTAAAAAAGTGTATAGCATGGTAGAAGAATATAGGTAGACGCTTCGACACAGCTGCTTGGACAATGAACTGTCAAACCAATTTTGGAATTGAAAATGTTGAATGAAAAATTATTTAAATTTGTAAAAAAAAAAACGCGAATTATAATAGCCTCCGAATAACGTAGTATAAGAAAGTATATAAAAATCTACTTATATTTCAAAAACCCATTTAAATTTTTTTGACATATCAATGCTCCCAAGCGTTGATGCATCTACCTGTATTCTTCTGCCATGGTGTATAGGAAATGTGATAATGGACATAAATATATAAACAAATATATGACTTACAGTACGTTTACATATAAATGGGTTAACCCACTAGATTTGGATTAAAATTTTCATATCCATTGCTTATACTTCAAACAAATCCTCTTAAACTAGGTTAACCCTGCCAAAAGTTCCAACGTAAACACATGGTAGAAGAATACAGGTAGTCGCATCGACACAGCTGCTGGGACAATGAACTGTCAAACTGATTTTGGAATTTAAAATGTTGAATGAAAAATTATTGAAATTTGTAAAAATTATTATTATAACAATCTCCGATTTGCATCGTATAAGAAAACATTTTAAAATCTACTCATTTTTGACAAAATATTTTAAATTTTTTGACATATCAATGTTGATGATGCATCTACCTATATTCTTTTACCATGCGTAAACATAACATACTAATTTTATTTAATGGTAGAAGAATACAGGTAGATGCATCAACGCTTGGCAACGAATGTTTTCTCATTGGAGAAACCCAAATTCGTCAGTTCACCACTTTCGGCCAAGCGGAGCTACTCTTTAGCTCTTTTGAGTCTATTTTCTTTCTGTTGCGGTGTAAGTTTTTGCACTTTTTGGAATTTCAATGGCTTTACCCCGAGCTTATTTTTCAATATTTGCCGAATGGAATATTGCGATATGTCTAGCTCCCGAGCCATTTTTCGGCCACTGAGACACGGGTTTCGATCAAGTCGCTTCTTTACTTTTTGAACCATTTGTTCCGTCCACTTCTTTGACGTCTGGCTACGCTACCAGTATCACGGTAACAAACGATGGTACGAGGCATAAAGGATTCATTCACATTTTAATGCTGGAGTGCTCTAAAGATAACCACTTGTGGTTTTCCAGCCAAATATAAAGAAATCACACTCTCACGCTTGAATTCCATCACGAATAACTTTTTTTCTGGAAAATTCTCACCAAAATGCTTTTGTATGCTTGTAAACAATATAATGAGCTGTCACTGGAATAATTTTAACAGCTGTCAGACGAGTGGCTTAGAAATGAGAGAAGTCTGAAGTTGGTTGCAGTTTTTTCATCTCACCCTGTATATTTATTGTGATTGCACACGTATCGGAGTTACCCCGGGTAAAGATTTTGTATGTAAACGTACTTTAAAAGCCTTATCTACACCGAACATGTTTTCGTAAACAGCGTTATTTAGATTGTCATTTTTTTTTTGATTAAATGACAGTTCGCCGAAAAACACGTAATATATGTATTATTTTTTGTACTGTTCCAAAAATTACCATATACACATAACAAACTCATATTATAGTTATGTTCCAGAACTAAAGATTTTCTACTATTTTACATATTTTGACCAAAAATCCAAACTTCAAAATATTTCCTTATCTTTAAATAATAGAATTTCTTCTTTTCATGATTTTAAGTTTCACAACATCTTATCTATATACACAAATCTGAGATGTGAACCTGAGAATACCGAGATGGATATGCTTATTTGATATGACTTTAACTTCTAAGGGTGGAAATACATAAAGCGCATATTTGGCTGGCTTCTTCGTAGATGAACAAAGGAGTTTTAGGTTGACCTAGATCGATTTTGGCCCTAGGCTTCTTTGGTCATTTTCGAAGAAGCCAGCCAGATAAGTGCTTTATGTATTCCCACCTTAAATGTTACCAAAGTCGTTAGAAATTTTCTAATTGAAATTCATCAAACATGAAAATCCAGGTAACCCTTTAATAGGGTAATTAATTAAAACTTAATATTGCGTTCACTTAAATATGCTTGCAGCTTTACTTTTTATTTGGGAGCAGGAACAGTGTTTGCATATTAATTAGCAAAAAACGGTAAAATGAGTAGCTTTCTGCATGTTTTAGAGCGGAACTTTTTCCATAGTAAAATTCAAAAGCACTTGTTATGTCTTCTTTGATGGTACATGTGTACATTTCGAATATTTATTATTCAAATAGTTTGGAAAGATTTAGAAATGTTATGTAGATTTTGTTTTGAATTTTAAGCGTTGTCTACGTCATTCACATAATTTATTCATACGATCACTAGAATATTCTCTTTTGAATAACATCTTGAACTTTTGTTTTGTTTTTATTTCCGCTTTAGTATTCTCAGTTTTCCATCTCTTAACTAATTTACATATATCCACATTTACCTCTTAACATATGTATTTTGTGGCGGCATATTGACATCATTTGTCTTATTGTCAAAAGAAAACAAAAGTTATTTTAATGAAATTGAATTAAATCAGAGTGCCTCAAAATTATTATTATCTTTATAATGATAATAATAATTTTTTAAGGCACTTTGATTTAATTCGATTTCATTAAAATAAATTTAACATTTAATTGAATGAATATTAATAAAAACATATGTCAATTGGGGTCCTTAACTTTGATTTGGGGGTTTGAAAAGTTTTATTTTTACATTTACAAATTGGTCCTTCACCTCTTTCCATTAATTTCATTTTGCATTGGCATTATCTTCTTACACGTGTCTTAAATTTATTATATTTTTGCCAAATTTTTAAATATATTATTTTTGCTATGGGTAATTATTTGAAATTATAATCAATCATTATTAAAATTTTAAAATTTTTATTTTAATTACATATGTTTTCGAAATGAATAGAAAGTGCAAATAAATTTTTTTATGAAAAAAGAAAAATAACGTCATGTTTTATTTTGGACCAAAATGTTGGGAACATGGTAGAAGAATATACTTAGATGCATCAACGCTTGGGAACATTGATATGTCAAAATTTTTAAAATGTTTTATGAAAATTAAGTGGATTTTTAAATGTTTTTTTATACGACGCAAATCAGAGGTTGTTATAATATGCATTTTTAAAAAATTTTAATAATTTTTCATTAAACATTTTCAATTCCAAAATCGGTTTGACAGTTCATTGTCCCAGCAGCTGTGTCGATGCGACTACCTGTATTCTTCTGCCATGGTTGGGAAATGATTTTTGGCATAACGATTGTTACATGTCGTCTAATGCGCCCTTGTGCTGCGGGGATTAACTTAAGGCTCTATCAGACGATATGTTTTGTGAATATATAAAATTAAATTTGCGATAAGAAGTCATTCATAAAGTATTATATAATTTTAGAAAATGTAATATAATTACAATGCAACCAAAGGATAAAAAAACATGCAAGTGCGTAATGGCAAGAATTAGGAGTCATAAGTAATATGTCAATTTTGACATATATACGGAAATACACATGGATAATAAAAGTGGCAAAGTACACAAAACTCTTTTTTGATTGGCTTAAGTCATCGGCTGGCTTCTTCGTAGAGGAACAAAGGAGTTTTAGGTTGACTTAGTTCGATTTTGTCCTTACGCTCCTTTGTTCTTGAAGAAGCTTGCCGATGGCTTTAGCCAATGAAAAAAGCGGTTTATGTATTCTCACCTTTACTTTCTTTTGATGGTTTACATTTTTTAAATAAATTATTATATTTAGAATATTCTTGAATATCATTAAATCATCTTGAATAGTAGAATGTTTTTGTTTCTCGAAGGTCCACCTTTTCTGACACAAAAGTGCGTTTGCAATGTTGAAGGTTATCCGTCTGGTTTTAATAAATCTAATCTTGTGGGTTTATTTCCCTGCATAACAATTAGATCCCTATCTTCGATTTGTGTATTTACAATGGAATAATAAATATAAATTTTGACAATGAGAATTTCTCAAATAAATAATTTAGAATGAATTGTAAACATATTATTACATGACTTTACCTTCTTGATTCTACCATGTATATGCCTCTAGGAGTATATAAATGCCGATCAGCTGATGATTGTTTATGTTAGCCCTGGTCAACAAAGTTGATAATAGGATTGTTATAACATAAATCATCGGATGTCAAATGTATGAGGATGCATCTAAACGATCTAGAGATGAGGTTTAAATTATAAGAACAAAAGAGAAGAAAAGAACAAAGGAGCCTAGGGCCGAAATCGAACTAAGTCAACCTAGAACTCTTTTGTTCCTCTACGAAGAAGCCAGCCGATGGCTTAAAGTGAAAGTACATAAAAGGCTTTTTTGATTGGCTTAAGTCATCGGCTGGCTTCTTCGTAGAGGAACAAAGCAAAGACCTAAAATGGTAAAGACTGGACAAAATGCATAATGAAAAAATAGTTAATATAAAAAATATATAGAGGCGCTGCTCACAACAGTGACATGTTAGCATAAAATTTATATTTACAGAGCAATTTTAAGAATAAAATTTTCTGTAAACCAAAAATTTGAACTAAAAAATGCATTACACTGACGTTTGAATATTGCATTTGCTGTTAAAACAACTTAACATTGGTGATTATGTTGTTATGATATCGTAACAACAGAGGTGACAATATTTTGACTCTGTCTTGTCCCATCTTTATACTTCTATGTCTTTGCACAAAGGAGTTCTAGGGTGACTTAGTTCGTTTTCGGCCCTAGGCTCTTTTTTTTTTTGGCCTTTGTTTTATACGAAGAAGCCAGTCGATGACTTAAGCCATTCAGAAAAGCGTTTTATGTATTCTCACTTTAATTGTTTATTTACGTTTTTTCGTACCTCTTTTTGTTTTATGGCGAACAAATTGTTTCTTCTTGACAAATCTTGTGTGTGCTTGCAAGTTTGTGCAAGAAGCTCATAAAATCTTAAAAAATAATTGCATTTCGACCTAAGGTGTAGATACAGAGAACATTTTTCCACTGGCTTAGGAATGCGTTCAAATGCGCCTTTAAGGTGGGAATACATAAAGCGCTTATCCGTTTACTCCCGTTTAACTTCACATTTTTCTTGCAAACTCTCAGTAAAAGATCAGTTTGCCTGTCTTTCTCGACTCGCTGTCTTTTGCAGAACTTTTCGGCCAGGGTAACCAGACATACTTATTATTATCACTGACGCAGTGACCAAGGTCATATTTCCAATGCTGAAGTTCATGCCTTATCAATTTCAGCTAAAAAAAATATAAGCTGTCCAGAAACCGGGGTACAATTTACATTGACATGTGATTATTTCAGGTGATCATTAATTTTCAAAAAAGACAACAAATTTCATGTAGTGTAATTATTTGAAATTATTTTTTAATGAGCACTGCACGAAGTACTGAATAGGAGATTGATAACCCAAATGAATGGTTCAATGAGCAAGGTAAATCAATTTGATGCTCTTTGTTATTGTTGTTGTTGGAAACAACAATAGAAAGTAATTAAAACGTTTGAAATTTGCGAGACACGTCACAGATAACCTATTGGACAATGATGTGCGATTAGGTCCCGCAATGCAACCAAAAGAAATAAAGGCGCTTACTGGCTGAAGTCATCGCCTTGCTTTTTCGTAAAAGAACAAAGGAAGAGGATACATAATACGCCTTTTTGACTAGTTTAAGTCATCGGCTGTCTTATTCGTAGAGGAATGGAATTTAAGGTTGACATAGTTCGATTTCGGCCCTACGCTCATTTTTTCTTTTCCGAAGAAGCCAGTCAAAAAAGCGCTTTACCTTTATGGACTAAATGGCTGAAGTCAACGACTGCCTTCATCAAAAAAGAACAAAGGAGCTAAGGGAAAAAATCAAACTAAGTCAACCTAAAAGACAGCCTATGACTTAAGCCTGTCAAAAAAGCGTTTTATGTATTCTCAACTTAAAATTGAACTAAGGGTGGAAATACACAAAGCGCATATTTGACTGACTCAAGTCATCGCCTGGCTTCTTTGTAGATGAACGAAGGATTTTTCGGTTGACTTAAGCTGGAAATACATAAAGCGCTTATCTGGCTGGCTTAAGTCATCGGCTGGCTTCTTCGGAAATGAACAAAGGAGCTCAGGGCCAAAATCGAACTAAGTCAACCTAAAACTCCTTTGTTCATCTACGAAGAAGCCAGCCGATGACTTAAGCCAGCCAAATATGCTCTTTATGTATTTCCAGCCTTAGTTCGATTTTGGCCCTAGGCTCCTTTGTTCATTCCGAAGAAGCCAGCCGGTGGCTTAAGCTGGGAATACATAAAGAGCGTATTTGGCTGGCTTCTTCGTAGAGGAACAAAAGAGTTTTAGGTTGACACAGTTCGATTTTGGCCCTAGGCTCCTTTGTTCATTTCCGAAGAAGCCAGCCGATGACTTAACCCTGCCAACTAAGCGCTTTTTGTATTCCCACCTTAAGCCAGCCAGATAAGCGCTTTATGTATTCCCACCTTAAAGGCGCATTTGAACGCATTCCTAAGCTCGAAATACGATTATTTTTTAAGATTTTATGAGCTATCGGTATTTTTAAGAAGCAAATTTTATACTGGGTACATTTCTACTATCCTCCACCCTTTAAATTTTGTTTCTGCCCTTACTTACAGAATACGCAAAACCTCTGGCGAAATATTGGTCAATGGCGAACAACAAGATATGCAGCGGTTTCGTAAAATTGCCCGTTATGTCCTGCAAGATGATCACATTAGTCCCTATTTTACACTCATGGAAACGATGATGTTTGCCTCCGAACTTAAGATGGACACCAAATACAGTCGGGAACAGCGACAAAAAGTTATCCATGACATTTTAGATATTTTCGATTTGGGATCACATGTCGATACGTTGATTGCCAACTTGTCGGGAGGACAACGTAAACGTCTGTGCATTGCTCTGGAATTGATCGATAATCCTTCAGTATTATTTTTAGATGAACCAACAACGTAAGTTTAACACTTGTTGTTTCAATATTTGTTTAATGATTTTCCTTTTTTAGGGGTCTCGATGAATTCTCCGCCTCACAATGCATACGTCTGTTGAAAAAATTAGCCAAATGTGGCAGAACCATAATTTGTTCACTACACTGTCCATCGGCCACTTTGTTTCAAATGTTCGACAAAGTCTATGCCATGTCCAAGGGTCAGTGTATTTTTCAGGGAGCGGTAAATGATATTGTGCCATATCTGCAACAATTCGATTTGAATTGTCCTCAGACATATAATCCCACGGATTTCAGTAAGTATTCTCACAGAAATTTCTGAATAATTATTAAAAAATATGCAAAAAATGGTAATAATGTGTGGCAGATAGATGCAGTTTTAAGGATAGAATACATAAGACGCTTTTTGTTACTGGCTTAAGTCATCGGCTTGCTTCTTCGGAAAATGACAAAGGAGCGTGGGGTCAAAATCGAACTAAGTCAACCTAAAACTCCTTTGTTCCTTTACGATGAAGCCAACTGATGACTTACGCTAGTCAAAAAAGCGTCTTATGTATTCTCACCTTTAAACTTAAAAAAAAAACGTTTTTTTTTTTGACCGGCTAAAATTATCGACTGGCGTCTTCGTAGAGGAACAAATGAGTTTTAGGTTGACTTAGTTCGATTTTGGCCCTAGGCTCCTTTGTTTATTTCCGAAGAAGGCAGCCCATGACTTAAGCCAGTCAAAAAGCGTCTTATGTATTCTCACCTTAAGGGACGCGCATGGTAGAATAATACAGGTAGATGCATTTGGCATTTGGAACACTGATATGTCAAAAATTTTAAAATGTTTTTTTTTTTTTAAATAATTAGATTTTTATTGGTTTCCATATACAACACCAGTCGGAGGTTGTTATGATATGCCTGTTAAGCAATTCAACAATTAAAATAATTAAAAATATGAATAATTTTTCGTTCAAAATTTCCAGTTTCAAAATTGGTTTGACTGTTCATTGTCCAGCAGCTGTGTAGATGCGACTACCTATATTATTTAGCCATGTTTATTGGTAGAAGAACAACTTTTAGGTTGTCTTAGTTCAATATCAGCCCATAGTTTAAACTAATTCACCCTAATTCCTTTATTCCTTGAGAAAACAAGCCAGCCGTTGACTTATGCCAGAAAAGAAAAAGATATATCCCCAACGGTCAGCTATTTTTCACATGTGGATTTCTATAAAAGATAATAAAGGGATTTAGGGAGGCCTATGCCAAATTATCGGCCAAATTTGAACTAGTTCAAACTTAGTTCATCTTAAAAGGTGAGCATCAATACTTGCAACGTCTAAAGCATGGCCCAACTATGGTAAATTTAGGAAGGTAAAGTCATTTCAAATAAGCACATCCATCTCTGGATTTTCTGTAATTTACCTTTTTATTTATTGACAAAATTGTAAACATTGCATGGCGCAATAACTGTTCCTGCAAATATCAAATACTCCTTTGCTCTTTTACGAATAAACCAACCGATGACTGAGAAGAGAATACATAAAACGCTTTTTGGACTGGCTGGCTTCTTCGTAATTGAACTAAGGAGTTTTAGGTTGTCATAGTTCTTGTTCTTTTACAAAGGAGCCAGCCAATGACTTAAGTCAGTCAAAAAAGTGTTTTATGTATTCTCACCTTTAAGCCAGTTAAACAAGCCCTTTATTTATTCTCACCTTAAGGAAGTTTCATTCTCTTTTCCAAGAAAACTGAGAAAAGTAAACAGACACAATCTTTGCCTTAACTTGCAAGTAATCAGCCGATTTGTCAAAACGAAAAAAATTGTCCGCCATTAAAAAATGAAACACACAAAAAATAAAAATGAGCCGAAAAACAAAAGAATAAAGGTAAGAATACATAATTGTCTGGCTTAAGTCAACTTCTGGCTTCTTCGTAGAGGAACAAAGGAGTTTTAGGTTGACTTAGTTCGATTTTGGCGCTTTGTTCTTTTCCGAAGAAGCCAGCCAATTATGTATTCAATGTCCGTCCGTCTGTCCGTCTGTGAAAATCACTCTAGCTTCCGAACGAAATGAAGTAGGTTGATAAAATATTACTCAAATGTGTATTATGTCTACAGGACTTTTGGTATTGCAAATGGGCCATGTAGGTTCACGTCTTCGTATAGCCCCCATATAACGGTACCTCCCGATATGCGGTATTTTGATGTTTTTAGAGACATTATTTATCGGAACTATTTCAAACTTAGTATTTGAAGTTCGTAATGGATACTACAGCCTATGCCAGAAAATTGACTGTGCAGGTCCACGTTTTATAACCCCCAATGGTACTTCCTATATTCGGTATTTTAAAGATTTTAGCTGCATTATAAACAGATTTTTTTCAAGTTTCGCATTTGAATATTGTAATAGCTTGTGACAAAAGTTGCCCATGCAGGTCCACTCCGTCGTATAGACCTTAATTCGGTATTTCTAAACAGTAACCGTACATTTGGTATTTTTAAACAGAATTTTTAACGCATTTTATTTATATATTTATTTATTTATTTTTTTTTTTTTTGAAATTGCCAAATTTGGCCGATCTTACAGCTTTTTTACTTGTTTTCCCTAAAATTGTCTTCCAACGTCCAGTATTAATTCATTAATAATATTAATTCATTTTATTTTCACTTTGTTAAGTTATCGTACACACCTAGTGTCTCGTCCGTTAAAAAATACAGGGTGATTGTGTTAAGTTTTTCATGTAAATATAAACAGGGTAACTACGTATTTACATACAGGGTGTTATGGAAATATTTAAAATAATCTCAAATGAATTAATCAATAACAACGGTTGTGTTAATAATTAATTATATAATTTTTCTGCCTTTTTCGTTTTTATTAAAACAGTTATCGAAGTGGCCACAAAAACCTATGGCGATTTCCAAAAAGAACTGGTTGCAACAATTCAAAATGGAAAAATTGTAAAATGGCAAGCAGTTCCATCAAATAAATGTGACAATTATGATATCTTGCATCCAAAACTATTGGAAGCCAAACCCAATTTGGATAATACTGCAGGTGTTAAGAAAAAATATCCATCAATATACCGGAATTCATGGTTCAGTGAATTTAAAATTTTATTTTTACATATACTGCATCAAATGTGGCGTGACAAGGTAAGGTGTTTCGGAAATCCTGTGTTGATAAAATAAATAATATTGAATTTTCTTCATTCCAGGCAAATTGTAAACTCAGAATTGTTATACATATCCTGTGTTCGCTTTTAATTGGTTTCACCTATACGGAGGTTACAAGTAATGCCACGGTTAGCATTTTCACTTATCATCTGTCGATGATAGTTATTATCAAATTTTTCTTCCTTCCGATGGTACCGTTGCTGGCATGTGGTAAGTGTATTTCCAGCTAAATTTTTGGGTTGAGGTGTCGGTAATCTTTAGAATAATTAGCCTGTTCTAGAACTGTAAGAATGTAAGTTTTTACTACGATAACCGATTTTCCCTTTATGATAACGGAAAAAATGCAAAACTAGTAGATTCTAGCATGTTCTGGAACAGACCAAATGTTGAGTTCAAGGTTTGTGCACAAATCAAGATTAGTTAAATTAATTGTTTTAAATTCAAAATTGTTTAACTTTTAAAAATTACACATATTTTAGTGCCCCGTGACATGATGTATCTGCGGCGGGAATACTTTAATCAATGGTATCGTTTAAGTGCTTATTTTATGGCCTTAATTAGTGCCCAACTGCCCATGCTTAGCTCAATGGCGGTGGTGGGTTCAGCAATTATATATTTCACCAGTGGTCAGCCCGTTGAGTTGTATCGCTTTATGTTCTTTGTGGGAATCTCGTTTCTAGTATCTCTGATGGCATCAAGTTTCGGCATACTTTTCGGTTCCAGATTCAATGTGGTGGTAAGGAAACTTGAAAACAATTCGATTTAATTAAAAATTATATCTCATTAATTATGTTTTCTATCATTTTTTCTAGCACGCCCTCTTCCTGGCGCCCTATGTCATGGTATTAATGGTTGTGATTGCTTCCTATACTGCGGAACGTAACAACCTCTCCCTGTGGGAACAACTGATGGTCTACAGTAGTTTCTTAAAATATGCCGTCGATGGTTATCTTTATACTTTATTGGATTTTAATCGTCCCGATTTCCCTTGCCCCTCCAACCAGCTGTTTTGTATGACCTCTAAACCGAAATATATTCTCAAATTAGCTGGTAATTTAAAACCAAGTTATATTTTCTCAGTTCTAGGTTTATTTTCATTCTATTTGTTATTTACATTCCTGTCATATGCAATATTTAAACATAGATTGGCATATCATAGACAATCGAACGGGAAAATATCCAAAGCTTTAAGTAAAATATTTAGTTTTAAATTAGTTAAAGTTTAAGTGAAATTTATATTTAATGTATTATTTAAAAATTAATATAAGTTTTAGAATATAGAAAATATATTTTTTTATTCCAAAAATTATGTTACTACCCACTTAATGCAAAGGACTTGCGTGTGAACAGCTGTTTATTAGCGAAGTAAGCTTTGATGACAAGGTAATTAGAGTTGCCAACGCATTATGCTAGAGGACAAAATCTAAAAATGGCCTTCAAACTGCAAATGAAACTGTCACACGCTACCCGAATGTTGCTCTGCGGTATTTTGGCCCATTCCAGGCGAAGCGCGTGCCCAAGGTTTCTGTCATTTTTAACATGGTATAAATCTTAAGGTGGCAATACATAAAACTCTTTTTTGACCGGTTTAAATCATAGGTTGGCTTCTTCAGAAAAGAACAAAGTCTAGGGTCAAAATCGAACTTACCGCATTTTTATTATATGTTCTGTTCCAGAGTAATGTGAAAATGTAAAAGTTTTTACTACGACAACCGATTTTCCCTTTATGATATCAAAAACAAAAAATGCAAAACTAGTATTTTCTTGCAGGTATTGGAACAGAGCAATTGTTGTATTTTTCATGTCTTCTGACTTTGCAAAATATAGTGTACCTTATGAAATATTTTAATTTAAATTTGAAAGGGATGTTGTTTTTTTACGTTTTCCTAGGAATCCTGCAGCCGTCACCTAAACAATGAAGGGAATGATATGAAAACATTAAAACAAAATTTATGAATAAATAAATCCAAATTTCAAAAAAGGTATTTTTTTGAAATTTAAATAATTTTTTGAGAATTAATTGCTTTGTTTATATTTTTGATATTATAACTCTGACAATTGCACTAATTACAATAAAAATGTTCTTGCGGTTGTAGTTGAATTGTATCTGTCATAGTTTTGCTTCTTTCTTCTTAAAATTCAACCATGGCCTTTCCCTTAGCAAACTCCATGGTAGAAGAATGCAGGTAGATACATCAACGCCTGGGAACATTGATATTTATTTTTTTTTTAATAAAATAAAGTAGATTTTTATATTTTTTCTTATACGATGCCAATCGGATGTTTTTATAATATGCAAATCGTTTTGACAGCTCATGGCGTATGTACATTCAAACGAAAGTAAATTTTGTTTTCTCTATCATTCGAGGTACGCATTTTGTCCACGAGTTGAAATTTCCACAGAAAACTTCAAACAAAAGAGGCAATATTTCCAAAATGTTTGTATCGGCAGAAAAAAATGTCAACATTTACACAAAAAGTTGAAAACGTGAATGAAAATTGTAAAATTAATGATATAATTATTATTTGGAAGAAACGCAATAATTTCTTCTACTCATATTAGTAAAGATTTCATATATTTTTGTATAAATTCCCATTAATATCAACAAAAAAATATTTGAAAAAAAGAATTATTTCACTATGAATTACGAATCGTGAGGTAAGAACGGGTTAATTCACGTACCTAATTCCATGGCAGAAGAATACAGGTAGATGCATAAACGCTTGGGAGCATTGATATGTCAAAAAATTTAAATGTTTTTTCAAATATAAGTAGATTTTTATATGTTTTCTTATTCTACGTCATTCGGAGGCTATTATAATTCGCGTTTTTCAACAATTTTTACAAATTTAAATAATTTTTCATTCAACATTTCCAATTCCAAAATTGGTTTGACAGTTCATTGTCCCATCAGCTGTGTCGACGCGTCTACCTATATTCTTCTACCATGACCTAATTCTGAAAGCGAACAACATGATTGAAAGTGCAATGAGAACATAGCATTACTTTCTGATTAGGGATATGTAGTGGAAAGTCATAATCGACCTACCTACCCCTATTTCTGATAAGCAAAGAATGATTGCTCTCATTCTCTCTCTCTCTTTTCTGATAAGAAGTCAAACAAAAAATATAAAAAATAAAAAAATATATTAACTAACGAATGGATCTGGTGACCGGCAGTTAGCTAAACAATTGTATTCCAAGCACGACGACGTCCGTGGTTGTTAAATTCATTTGTCTGTTTGTAAGTCTCTCCCCTATATAACTTCCTAGCTTCGGCAACATGCATTTCGGTATTGTGGGTAGCGGCATTGTTGGTCTTACCACTGCTTTGGAATTACAAAATAACTTTCCAAATGCCAAGGTGACCATTTTGGCTGATCGTTTCAATGAGGACACCACCAGTTATATGGCCGCTGGAATTTTCCGACCCAGCACCAGTTTTATGGGTCCAACGCAAGAGATAACACAGTAAGACTGGTGCTAAAAATAACGGTCAATTGTATTTTGAATTGTTTTGCTTTTCTTCCGCAGACAATGGATAAATGATGCCTTCCATTACTGGGATGATATACGTCGTTCCAATAAAGCGTCTTTGGCTGGTGTTTGCCAATTATCGGGCTATATATTTTCCAGTACATCTCCATCGATAGTGAGAGTAAGTACCTACATATGTGTGCATGTGTTTCGATTATTTGATACGTTTCTGCTCGTTCTTTGTAGACATTTAGATTATACCAACTTTTCCAAAGTGTTTTTGATACTGATAAGATTTCCGTATGCCTGCAAATGATTCTTAATTGATTTTATTGATGGGGAAGGTGATTAGTTAACCACAGCTACATCAATTATATGTTAATTGTTATTGCCTAAAGATGGCCAAGCGGAAAAGCACGAACAAAGGGTTATTAGCAAAGTAGATGACTTAAAAAGGCATTCCACACCACCTAGAAAGCCTTTCGTTTAATCTTACAAAGAATATCTGGTCTTCCATTTCTAGAGGACCTCAAGGAATTTGCTCTATGTTCAGAAGACCTTTAGTATCTATATGATAAGAACATTTCTAGGGTTTATATGTAGATAATATGTAAACGTAAAGAAGAACCATTACGGGTACTGTATTGATATCGATCAGAAATCTCTAGGTCTTCTATGTACAGATTTCTTCTGGGTCATCTAACTAAAAAATGCAATAGGTCTTCGATTCATAGAAAGTATCTAGGCCTTGTGTTTATAGAACACCTCTTTTATGTAGAGGAGACGTAAGTTAGTTAAAACCTCTGGATGCCATCGTATTAGAAAATATTTTCAAATTCATTTATTTTTGCAGATATTTTAAAATATTTTTGACATATCAATGCCCTCGAGTGTTGATGCATCCACCTGTATTCTTCTACCATGATAGAACCTATGAAATCGAAGGTATTTATACAGAGAAGATCTATAGAATGGAATAAATAGGTATATCAGACTAATAAATATATTCTTTGGATGACAGACTTCTAAATTGTCTTTCTATGTACATATATGAGAAGCTCTTTTGCATAAAAAAGACTATGGCAACTTGAAGATCTTCTAAGCCAAAGCTCGTCTAAAAGTTAAGACACTAGTGATGTGTGCGATAGGAAATCTAGGATCTCTGTATAAAAGTCCTATAACAACTTTAGAAGTTTCTTTTGCATAAAAAAGTCTAGGGCAACTTGAAGAAATTCTAAGCCAAAGCTCGTCTAAAAGTTAAGACACAAGTGATGTGTGCGATAGGAAATCTAGGATCTCTGTATAAAAGTCCTATAACAACTTTAGAAGTTTCTGGATGGGTTTCTTTATTTTGAAGTCCTTTTAATTATAAAAGACGGTTTGGAAGACTCCTATAAGTTTTTCCGTATATAGAAGGAATCTATAAGGTATTCTTCTAAACATTCACTAGGCACAGAAAACTTCTCCATAGAACAAAACAATTTTAATTTCTTTGAATGTTTATTTCTATATATTTTTCTGTTTAAGAATTTCACAATAATATCAAATTGTTTATTGCTTTTAGTATTAATATCGCCTCTCATAAAATGTTCAATAATAGCGGATATAAAATCATAAAAGAAATCTTTTATAAATCAAAGTCCCTTTGGGCATATAAACATCAATGTTATATATATATATTTACAAACTTTTTTTCTTTCAGAATCATTTTATTGAAAAATTATTGCCTATTTATCGGCAAGCTACAGAGGAAGAATTAAAGCTATGCCAAGGCAATTGGAAATATGGTTCCTTCTTTACGACATGTGTTACGGAGAGCCGTCTCTTCCTGCCCTACGGCACACAAAAGTATTGTATATGATTTCTTAGAATTGAAAGAGAAATTTCATTGTATACCTTTGCAGATTCAAGGAAGCCGGTGGTGTGGTACTATTCCATCATGTTGATTCACTGAAAACCCTGCCAGAGAAATATGACGTTGTTGTCAATTGCACAGGTATGGGTGCCAAAGAGTTATGCGGTGATCAACAATTGGTACCCATTCGTGGTCAAGTGCTGAAAGTTCGCGCCCCCTGGATCAAGACTGCATTCTATGGAGATTATGACACTTATATTGTACCCGGCTTTGATACCGTCACCCTTGGTGGTTGTCGCCAATATGATAGTTATAATTTGGATGTGTGCAAATATGATTCCATGGCCATTAAGGAACGTTGTTACAATATGTTGCCAAGTCTAAAGAAGGCGGAAGTTGTTCGCGAATTCGTTGGCTTGCGGCCACATCGTTCGGTGGTACGCGTTGAAAAGGAAATAATGCAACGTTCCGTCGATGGTAGTGCAATTAAGATTGTTCACAATTATGGTCATGGTGGTTATGGTGTTACCACTGCTCCTGGTACCGCCAAATATGCTGTGAAATTGGTTCGTGAAATGTTAGTGGGCAATAGTAAATTGTAAATATTTTATGTGGAAAAGAGTGTTCTGTTTATAATTCAAATATCAAATGTTTTTACTTGTTATATTAATAAATAAGATTGTAATATATTATCAACATTTTAATAGAAATTTCTTGGTATATTAGTATCTATTACTGCAGTAATATAACATAAAAGAAAATTTTAAAAAATACTCCCTAAAATTTTTAGATTGAATGGGTTTAGATCATACTTGACGGTTGAAGAACACCAAAAGATATTGTGGCATATCCATTATTTGTTTTAGAAATTATTTCGATTTTTTACGAAATTTCTCGTGTCAAACATATGAAATGTATGTAAAAAATAAGAACCGTTGGAATCTACGGAAACTTTTCTATAAAAAAGCTCTTATAGTATTTTTACAATAGAACTTTTTGTCGAATTTACTGTTTACTTGATTTCTAAGATAAACGTACAATCGCGTATACATAGAAGCCCCTTTTACCCAAAAAAGTTTTCCTAAAGACTATGGGCTCTATATACTTAACATGGTGCTTAAAGCAGATGAATCCTGTGGGAACAATGTTTAACTTGATACTCCGTTTATTTGGAGAAGGCAAAATGAAAATTAAAAGCATTCTGTGAAGTGGTACTTAAGACTATGTGAAGTAATTCTCTTAAGTCTTCACATGATTTTTGATATTTATGACACTCGATTCGTATCCGCAACGATTTTAAGGTTATTTTAATCGACATTACAATGGGGAAAGGTAGGCGATTAAGAGACAAGTAGGATTCTCTCTTAGATTTGTTTTGTAATTAAAAAAAAAAAATAGTTCAAATTACTTGAAAACTGTTACAAAAATTAAACTGTTATAACTACAATTTACTCTACTAGTCAAAAGTTAATCTAGACATCCCAGCCGTTGACTTAAGCCAGCCAAAAAAGCGTTTTATGTATTCTCATCTTTAGTCTACTGGTTTAGATTATATCCTTTATTGACTTTTGTATCCTCTAAAAGGCATCAAAATGACAACATACTTGTTCAAAAAGAAATCCAAATTTCTATGCAGCTACATGGATTCTGAACTAAAACGAAATCTTGGGCCGACAACGAAATTAAGGCATAATAAGCCTCCAGTACAGAGTTGCATTTTCCTCGTTTCCTTGAAGTTGAGCAACGTTTCTTATTGAGCCAAGCTTAGAAGCAAATATCAATCATTCCATAATCAAGCCCATGTTAGAATTAAGAAGGTAAAGTCATGCAATCATATGTTTACCATTTTTGTTTTTCAAAATTGTTCATTTAACAACATTTCATTGTCAAAATTTACACTTACAAATCTATTGTCTGCACTGAAATCAGAGATGGGAACCTGTTTCTTATTCAATGAAATTTGACAAGGTAAATTAAAGAAAATGCACAGATGAATAGTATTATTTGAAATGACTTTACCTTCTTGATTTTACCATGATTAAGCTTTACATGACTTATGCGGCCAATGTTTTAAAGTGTGGGTACATAAGCAGCTTGGCATCATGGCTTGGCATATTAATGTCGAACTATAGGAAAAACAATGGCAGTATCCGAGCGTGGTTCTGCGTACCCTCATGATATGTCACAAAATGTGCCAAATAACCTCCGAATGACGTCGTATAAGAAAACGTATAAAAATCCACTTATATTTGAAAAAACATTTAAAATTCCCGTCCCAAGCGTTGACGCATCTACCTGTATATTTCTACAATGTATTCTGTCAAAACATATACACAGCTTGTATATGTGTTCATTGTTTTGAAAAAAAAAATTAAAGAATTTAAAATTATTTGAAATTCAGTTGCAGGAGAAATGTATATTTTCGGTGTTAATGGGTAATAAAATGTGCTATTGTTGGACAAAACAGTATTGTCTTACTATGTCAGATTTAATTTTGGGAAAAAACACCATTATTCCATTCATGTTTTGTGGTTTTCCTTCAATTTTAGCATTTTGTTAAAAATTGTAAAATAAACAAAACTCATTGTTGCAGACTTAAAAGTCTATTTGACACTATAAGACTCCGGTACAGAGTTGCATTTTTCCTAGTTTCTTGAAGTTGAGCAACGTTTCTGATTGGGCCATGGAATTACGTATATTCTTAAAATACGTACTTTATTCGTCGATGTAAAGCAGGTTTTATACCAAAGAAACAGATGAACTTTGGGAACTATACGAACTAAAGGAACTATATGAACGAAAGAGCTAGTACGTACAGTTCCCATAATTCCTCTCACGGAATAGTTGCTTTGAACCTGTTCGTTCCGGAACGACAAAACTCTACAACTCTATTTGTAAATTAATAAAATAAACAATAAATTAAATCAATATCCCGAATTTTGATTTTCTAGTTAGAATTTTTTTCAAGTGATAGTGGTGAGACTTCAAAGAAGATTAGAACGGTGGCCAAGTGAGATTAGTGACGTAGGAAAATAAAAATAAAATACGAACAAACAGAGAAAATTTAATTGAAAAGAATAACAAAAGAGAAGAAAACAAAACCTCGAGAAATGTCAACACCACAAAGTCCGAGTGAGGTAAGTGTTTATTAAATATATTTTATTTATAACTAATTGTAATGTTAATATCAAATGCCGATGGACCAGCAAATTGCCACGACTCAAAAGAAAATTCCCAGTTGACCTGGCAACAAAAAAATCGGGCATTGATATAAATTTTAAAGGGTTTACGTGCGAATTATGACCCGCCTCTGTTTTACGGGGTGGGGTAGTATAGCCCCCAGTAGGTATGGTATATTATTATTGTTATTGTTTTCTAAAAGGCTGTCCGCTTCGTGTCTAGTGCGGGGTCATCAGGGGAGAAGAAAGAAGTAGATCAAATGAAAATTGGTGGTTCTTTTTGCAAGTTTCTTTGTTTTCCTTGGCCACGCATGAAGACAAAGAAGTTTCTTCTATCTATGGTATGTCTCAACTGTATGGTGGAACGACAGCATCCAGCATATGATGTAGTTTTAGCATGGCCTGTTTTCGTTTTCAATATAGATCCGCTGACTAGTTATTATCTTCTTGTTTGTTTTGTTGCTTTTCTTGTTGTTACTGTATTGTGGATTTTTCCTTGAAAAAAAAAAAAAAAACAGTTGTAAATTCAAAACTTAAAGGCTCTACTACTTTTAAAAAAGAAATCCGTAACTTCCAGAAGTTAATTGTATGTAATGAGAAAAACCAGTTCTTTAGAAGTAGGTACATGTGCCCTTAATTGAAAACTAATTTAAATATTAATTTCATTATCTCGTAGTGGAAAAGTTGTAATGTTATTCATTTAATTTATGCCTATGAATGATGGGGAATTGCAAGGGAAGAAGCTTACGGAACTGATTTGCTTGTTACATTCATAAGAAAGAAGGGAAAATAGATCCCTAGTTTTGTTTGAGAGTCTACCTGGAATCTTAGTTAGACTCTTATTGGATTTACATTATTTGCTTGTCTTTCTGTCCATAAGTTTTTATACCATCACCATAAAATTATTAAATTTGTCATTATTTTTGTAAGACCTCAAAATATTCGTCTGAGATCCTATCAAGTACACAATCGTGATCAGCGTAGCTGGTACTATTAAACATTTTGAAATTTTGCACATGCATTGATATGGTTCCAAGGATGTTTGGTATTAAAAAGGGCATATATATAGTTCTCCTTATAAATGCTTCTCCTAATTTTCCTTTACAGAGGGTTAAGTAACAATGTCTAACTAAACTGTGGCTACATTTACCCATCGCAAAAAATGTTCAATGTCGGTTTAATTTTCGGTTTAACCTCCATTTCAATTTCCAACCAAATCTCATATATTTTGTTATTTTGTGTTATTTTTCAATAGATGTATAGCCATCATACTCTTAGGGAGGCAGTAGCTACTTCACTTGGAAGCATTTGGTCCATTGTGTTCATCCTAGGAAGAATAAGTAACAAATGGCGCACAAGTAATCCTCCTATCAGAAAAAACTTAAAATTTTACGATTTGCCCCTAATATCTCAATTACAGCCAAAAAGGCATTAGCAGTTATTGTTGAAGCAGGAATATATATTATGAACTGATAGTCTGGTACTGCTTCAATGTCCTGGTTTAGTAAGTCAACTTTTCATATGGCTTGTTGCCAAAGAACCACTAGAGTAAGTTTGATAGGTTTGTCAGGGAAAAATTTAAAATATGGAAATATGGAGTCGTTCATACTCACCTAGTCCACAGAAGTCAGGGCCACTGTTATCACATTTTGAGGTCAGATATCTGATACTTCAGTGGACAGTCAATATGCCCTTACCGATATTCCTAGATCAAAACTGCTGAATGTTGAAAAAGAGAAGGTTTTTTTATCTCGAGATTGTCGGCCAGATGTCCTTAGATACCTTACTACCGGTTTTCATGTATTATTTCCCGCTAGCTTCTTCGATAAGAGCATTCTTGAAACAGCTTAATAGCTTATCGGTGATTTAACTATCACATTTATCTGTAGATCAATCGACTGGGAACCACTCAGTTTATGGCCTGAGTCCCACAGTCGCTGGAACTGTCATGCTATTACATCTTGGGTTCCTTCTTGATTGCAAGAATCACTGCCAGAAAAAACGCTACATTTATCATTGAGATTATAGGAACATCTAATAGTTGAGTTAGAGCTGAATACTCCAGCACCTGTAGCCTTGTCCATCTTGGAACGGTCTGTGTAGATGGCGTCCCTAAAAGTCAATGTAATTGAAGTCGAAAATGGGTAAACACCTCGTCACTAATTTCATCACTTTCTTCTAAGATATTCCGACTTATTGGTAATTGGTAAGTCCAGAAATTATGCATGACTTAAACTCGAAAAGTGCCATTAACCCCTGACTGCTGAAAACCGAACCAGAAGAGGATAAACAGATGAAGACTTTTTTAATCTGTAATCCAGAAAACTTTTTTTTAATCTTTAATCCATTATGCATCGAGTTATTTTCAGGGTAAGATAAAAAAAACTGCAACAAAGTCAAACGATTTGGTCAACTTTGACATGAATTATGGCCTTCAAACGGTCAATGAAACCATCACACGCTGTGCAAATGTTGCTCTGCGGTATTTTGCTTGAGATGATCCATACACAATAGTCCAACGGATTGGTATC